GAGAGAGAGATTGCGCACCGATGGAGAAAGATGGCGCACCGAAGCAGATAGGTGACGATGGAGATAAATTAGGAAAGATAGAACAGCGATAGAGATAGATGACGAAGGACATAGATTGGGAAAGATAGCGCAGCGATGGAGATAGATGACGAAGGAGATAGATTGGGAAAGATAGCGCTACGATGGAAATAGATGACGAAAGGTCGGTAGAGATCGCGCACCGGTGGAGAGAAATGGAGAGAGGACGTGCAACAATGGTTAGCGATGCCGCAGCGATGGAGAGAGAAGGCACAGCGATGACGAAGATTTTTTATTGCACAACATCAGTTCCATCGAGTTAAACCTTCGTTAAGCATACCTGTCACTTGTTTCGTGCGATTCCGCAGTGGTGGGCGGCTGCACTGACGACGGTCTCAAACAACAATACAATGGCGATGGCGGGATCGCGCAGGAGTGATGGAGAGCCTCTGGCATAGGGATGGAGGTTGCCCGGTGGTCGAGAGAGATCGCAAGGTGATGGAGTGAGATGGAGAGTGATCACTCAGCGATGAAGGGAGATCGTGAGGCGATGGAGAGAGAAACCGTGCAGCGCTGTGGAGCGATGGCGCAGCAATGGAACGCGTTACAATGCAGCGATAGCGATAGCAATGGCAGCAATGGAACAGCGATAGCGATGGCGCACCGGTGGAGAGCGATAGCGCAGCGATGGAACAGCGATAGCGATGGCGCACCGGTGGAGATCACTGGCGCAACGATGGAACAACAATAGCGATGGCAGCGATAGCGATGGTAGCGATAGCGATAGCGCACCAATTGAGAGATGGCGCAGCGATGGAAACATCGTTGCGATGGCAGCGATAACGATGGCACGGCGATGGAACCAGCGTTGCGATGGCAGCGATAACGATGGCGCAACGATGGAAGCAGTGTTGGGATGGCAACGATAACGATGGCGCAGCTATGGAAGCAGCGTTGTGATGGTGCAGCGATGGTCAGCGCTGCGATGAGAACCTTCGGGATTGCCAACGCTGTGATGGGGGATATAGCTTTACGTCGCGATGGCGATGAGCTAAGCGCATCGATGGCGATGGTGCATGGCGAGCGTTGGCGATGGCGATGAGCTAAGCGCATCGATGGTGATGGTGCATGGGTAAGCGCATCGATATCCAACGTCGTTGACATTTGCAAAATGTCCGAATGACAACGACACCGGAACTTATAGATTTTCAGTGTTTTTGACCTCGGCGCGCAACGGATCACCGCGCCTCGGCGGGAAATAAACCGTCGACTGGCCTCGGCGCGCAACGAACCGCCTCGGCGCACAACGAATCGCCGCACCTTACAGATTCTTGTGCCTGACCTCGTGCGTCGGATCATGTCGATCGACGGTCCAGATTAGAACTGCGAAAATGACATTGCCTGCCCCTTCTTTTCGGGAACTGTCACATCATTTCACGCCGGAGTTGACGGAGATTTTGGGGCCACTGCCATATCAGTGGCTCCGTTCATCTGCGCGGTTGAAAATTGTTGATCGACGGCTGACAATTTCTGGTACCCCTTACCGTTTATAGGCCCCGACGTTTTATGGGCCAAGGGGTGCGATATGCGAATCAATTCGGCCCCACCTTGATGGTGTTTTATGGGCCGAGGGATGCGATATGCGAATCGATTCGGCCCCATCTTGATCGCGATAAGAGGCCTGCTGCAGCAAAGTATAAAAGGCATTGCAGCCCTCGAGTTATCCCTTTTGTTGTCGCTCAACAGATCAAGTCGCGCTATCGCTTCCACGCACGTTCTGATATTTGGTCTTCAGCCCCCCCCACCTTCCGCCATAGCCCGCTCACTCTTCGCTCTTCGCTCTTCCTAGCTCGATATCCCTCCACCATAGCCGCACGACGAAGGTAAAATTATATAACTTCATTTGTCCCATCCTGTATCCGATGTCCGAACAAATTCCCAGATGCCCTGTCTCTACCCGCAGGATATAATGCCGCAGCCGCGTTCTGTTGAACCCCGAATCAATTCCCAGTTTTGTTGTTTCGCCAGTGGACGTATTTTGATGTCTTTTCTCCACCCTCCACCTCCGTCCGCCATAGCCGATCCACGTTCTGCAGCTCGATTACCTTTTGCCATAGCCACGATAACGTTTGTATAAAGCTGCTCGATCCCCTTCACAACTTGCAGTCGTCACTGCGCATGGTGAACCCCGAATCAATACCTAGTTTCTACACTGAACACCGAATCCATTCTCGATTTTCGCCCACCTGTCCCT